TGTTCACATACCGTAAAAACAATCGCTTTCAAAAGAAATCCGTCGGGCAGTACACGAATATTTGAATATACCCCCCCCCCCCAATCATCGCCTCTAGGAACGACCCTGACGATTTAATGTATCGCGAAACGTACTACGCTCTACAGGATTATATGATTGCCAACCTGTGACCATGTGACAGTGTACTAAATGTTGGGATACATTAATTAAACAGATGCAACTGAAAGCGGTAAATTTAAAAATTGTTTTAAAACGGAATCAGTCATTAAAACAGCTTGTTTTTATCCGGCTATCGCTCGTGGTCTAAAGGTTTAAAAGTAATATATGTTCTTGTTATATATTTTACAACACAAAAATCTAAATGACTAAAGTAAATGATACAGTCATTTTGATCAATCCAAATAACACCCCTAGAAAATCGTTCTTCGCATTTCACATACTTCAGCCTACCCTCCCACGGGAGAAAGCGAGTTAAGATGTCACGTGACCAGCGTGAACCAGGGTCTCTGCTGGAGCGTGTTTGAGAGGGAAGCGGAAGGAGAGAGCCTGGCTTGCGAAGTTGCGAGAATATAAAGAACCATTGGTTGGTAATACTGACCAACGTTTGAAGATGATGTTAAATTAAAATAGTTTCTCATTTCAAACTTTCCATCCAACATTGTCAATCATTTTTGGAACATTGGCGTTTCACTAACAATTGTTGTAATGCACCTTTGTTGCACTTAATATGTAATTCTAGTCGTTCTACGGTCACGTAAGACCGTAGACTAGTTTTTATATTCCAGCAAATGAAACACTTTGACGTCATTCTTGCATAGCATCTCTCATACATCGAAGATCTTGTAATAACACTTTTTTATTATACGTTTCAGAATCTGAGGTAAAAGATTTGATTTAAACATGGGTGAAGATGGATGCTGTTTTAACAAAAACCAACTTAACTACTTCCGTGTCTGTCATCTGGCTACTAATGTGCTGCCTTGTGAACTGCGTGGCATCTTCGTTCAACGGTGGAATTTACTGTATTCCAAAGAACATGGTCTATGGTGTAACACCCTTAAAAACGGCCAAGACTTTGTTTCAATGGAGTCTGACTCAAACAAAAGGCGGAATAAAGAACTGTTAAATGCTATGCAAAATGGAGACGTTGAGCAATGGGATTGTACAATGCTGTTTTACGGCCTACTTTACTCCTCGTCGATCGGTGGGATTTTAGGGTCTGAAATTCGTGGTCATGTGAACTGTTTAAGGGAATTTAGAAATCAGTCATTTGCTCATGTCAACAAAGGAGAAATGACTTCTTCAGATTTTCAGATCATCTTAAATAAATTACTCCAAGCTCTTCTGGGACTGCGTCGTGATACTTCTCCCGTGAAGCTAGTTCAAAATTTAAATTCCTTTACTACAGACGAAGTTTATGAATTGAAAGAGAAATTAGAATCTGAAAAGATAGCGCAGTCTGAGTTGGATAAAAGGATTTGTGATCTCGAAGACAGGGTGTTAAATCTTGAGAACAAAACTTGTCCTAGTGACAGTGATGAAGAGTACGAATATTCCAATATAGTTGACTTGTCATTGAACAAAGACAAATCTGTTCCTCCATTTGTGATCTTGCCTGACAAATTAAATCACCCTGTAATTCGACGGCACGAAGTTGATGAGGTAATCCAGACATTAAATGATCTTAGAGTTATGCACGATGATAAAATCACTTCGGTTTTTATAATTGGGGAACCTTTGTCAGGGAAGACGGAATGTGGCAGGAAGATTGGTGAAGCTGTTTCCAAACACAATTCAATTGTTGCAGTAATTAAGTGTGATACCTATCAAAATTTTACCTCTTCGTTAAAGCAACTCGCTAAAAGACTTGGATACAGTCAGATAAACTTCCCTTCTCTTCACAAGACGTCCGTTGCATCCCAAATTGAAATACTTTCGTTGTTCGTAAAGGAAAAAATATCTGGGGAGTCGTCATGGGTAATAATTTTGGACGAAGTGTTGGAGGAAACCAAAGAATTGTTAACTTATCTTCCTCAGCCTGGAGATCTAGGTAATAATACAAACATTTTTATTTACCTCAAGGCTATATTTCAACGTTTTTACTAGTATTTGTTGTTACCATTACAGTAAATATTCTCACTGACTGGCAATATACATACCCGATTGTATAGAGCTTTGTTTATGTAATCGACACCATGTCTTTATAGCTTTTTGTCGCCAAGGTTCTTGGACATACAGTCCTGAGCAAAACATCGGCGACGCTTCTATTTATATGACGCAAATTTAGAAAAACCGACTCCCTTGCCCCAACATACCATTCAATGCTAATTGTGTTTCCAGAATGTGCTTAGAAAGTTGCAGTACGTCTAACACTGTTTTTGGCGGGCGGGCGGGGAGCTAGCTGGGCAAGAGTAAATTATTCCAGTCCAATAGTAGAACAGCCACAGAAGAGTGTGGCTTATGAACTTGGCCAGGATTGTAGAATCTATCGCCGAGCCTCGGCTTTATAGCTAACATGACGTAACATTACTTTCGGTTACATGTATATTTCCAAGGGCAAAGCCCCGGAGGGAAATATCGTCACTAAAGGTTATATTTTTCCAAATCTCCCGTTCAGTGCAAATGAATAAACATTAGAGAGTTTAAAAGTGTATATGCAATGAAAATTTCAATTTTGTGATTTTTGCATTATCTGAAAATTTCATCTTTTCTGATCATTTTAATACCAACCTTGTTGAATACTTCGAACTAGAAGTTTGTGAATTTTGCGTTTAAAGTTGGGCTACGAAAATTTTAGCTGATGAAATCCTCGCGCGGCCAAGAGGTCATGATGACGTATGCAGTGTGACACAGTGCACTCTTCCTATCTGTAAATACTATAAACAATGTAGCTTCAACTGCGTTGAATTGGGATTTTTTGATAATTTAAACAAAATCCAAATAAATCTGCCTTATGTAGATGCGATACATTGGTAAATCAATGCAATGATATCACCATACGACGATTTATCGCTTATAAGCCGCCGAAATGCGAAATCAATGTTGTTGTAGCAGTGTAGGTTTCAGATGTCGTTAGTTGTGGCATATTGTAGATATTTTCGTTGTATATAATCCATTGTAGATAGTTGGATATAGCTAGAATTTATACAGTCCGTACTATGACAGAATAGGCGAAATGAAATTAATTGAAGTAAACGAAGTTGAGTATACCAAGAACGCAATAAACTATTAGGAATATAAGTACTAAAGTACCTCAGTTCGCACGTCATACCACAGTTAAGCTCGTTGCTTGTTTACGCTTCAAGTATGTCATGCTTTCGTCTATTTGCGTTTGCTGAAACGTGCCGTATCTATATACTGTTTGCGCGCAATTTATTCCTTAGTCACTGGTTGTGTACTATAGCTGCGTCAAATGAATACTATTCTGGGCCGTAATTAATTTAATTCCTTTCTGGCCTTATCAGTCAAGAAATTATGTTTTCACAACAGGCGTATTAACCACCGAGGCCGGAGCGCTCTATATATACTTCTTAGTCGATCATACTCACGCGACAGAGTCCCAGTGAAGAACCATTTATTTGACTAGGTTAATTTATACTTATAATTTACAATATCAGTTTACGTAACATAGTATTCACTTTTTATCACGTTCTCAGTTCTCTGCTGTGATTATTTATATCCAGTGTT